GTTCAATAAAAATATTTCAAATGCTACTGTAGTTTTCTTTTCCCCAAAACTTTGTCTTCAAAATAAGGGTGCATCTTATATTCCGAAAAATACGGTACTTAACATTATCTTCTTGTACACTGAGAATGACCCAAAGCATTATCAGAAATTATTTCAGTAAAGTGATCGTATGTGCATGTTGCTACATATAGATTGTATATATTTTTTGACTAGCAAATACTGTTTTGATCTAAAATATGCTAATAAGTCTTTCATACAATAATTATGTTAGTAAGGATTATTTTCCTTTAAAATTTCTACATTTTTTATCATCTTGTGTAGGTAGCCTTTATGTAAATGTACTTAACGCTGTTTTCGTGTACTTTGTGTGTAGCCAGCCTTTTACCCACATATATCTTGCATCATTTCTCTGTATTTCATATGTAGTCTACCTTTACCAACATATACCTTATGCCATTTGTTTGTACTTAATGTGTAATCAGTCTTTACCTACATCTACTTAACATTCATTTGTAGTTCTTGTGCAGGCATGCTTTACTTGCATATACATTACGCTGTTACTTTGTGGTCGTATGTGGACATTATTTACATTCATGTACTTAACATTATATCCCTGCTGCTTAAATATAGACAGCCTTTGCTTACATATACTTAATACCTTTTTTTTCACTTGTTTTAAAACAGTCATGCATTATTTATGTTTCAGTTAGATGTAGTTTAGAAATACTAAAATACTTTTTTATATTTTTCAGTCAGGTATGATTGAGAGATTATTGTCCTTCATGTTACTTAAAAAGTAATACATTATGTAATGTTTAGAGCATGAAAAAGAACATGAAGATAAGGAAATAAAAAACAGCTCTGACCAGGGGAATGGAAAACCTACACGACAGTGTCCATACTGTGAAAAGTGTTTTCATGCTAGATTTAGTTTAAGAATTCACCTAAGAGTACATACAGGAGAGAAACCCTACAGGTAATTTTTTTTATTTATCATAGAGAATGATTGAATAATTTGAATCAAAATGAAATTTGATAAAGATAAATGTTTGTTTCTTAACTGTGCTTGTTTAACACTTTTTTACATAGATACATTCAAAATGTAATTAAACTACTTTATAATAAATATATATGAATAAACTTGGTATTAAAACATAGTTAATAAATCAAATCTTAATATTATATAAGTTTTAATTTCATAATTTTAAAAGGAAATATTTAAATATATTTTCATTCTCCCCTTGTATGTATACAGCAACATTTGTTTGCTCCAGTTTTCCCATTCTTTATTTTTTCATCACCCCTCTCTAATGTCTTAAGTTTAATATAAATTATTCATTATAGTGTAGATATTACTAAAGCATAGTTTGGTTATTTTATCTTCTTTTTTTTTTTTCACATTTCTATCAATAAGACAGTGGGATGTATTTGGACTTACAATACTAAAACTAGGGTTCAATTCCCTATGGTGGACACAACAGAGAGCTCAATGTGGCTTTGATCTAAAACAAAAAGACAAATATTTATAACCTTCAAGCTTCTTTGTTTATAGAGATATAAATTAGAAAGTTAGACCCAGTTGCCATGCCCATCCATCACATCCTCGTTTTTACAAATTGCCAATAATTCTCTTTGATCATTTTCATGACATCATTTATAATCAATAGAAAGATGAAGTTATGTTGCCTACAAATTGAAAGTTGCTGTTGCTGAGTTTGTATTGAGTAACTAAGGGAATTATTTTAAGGCACTTATGCTTTAGCTAGAAAGCCACTAAGTTATAATACTCATAGGACATTGTATGCTTTGTCAGTGTTGTTATTTTATTTTCATAAGTTGCATATTTGAAATAAGAATTATTTAAAGTACTAGTACCATCATTACAAAAAAAGTAGGTTTAAGTTTCATTGGTGGATGAACAGCAGAAAAACAAGAAGCTAAACTAAGTTTTAAATATCTTGTTTTTTGTTTTTTATTATAAAAATAACTAAAATTTAAACATTAAGAACTTAAGTTTAATTAGGTGAAGTAGTAAAAAAATGTTTCTACAAAATATGCGCATATCTTACTAGTGTGTTATATCATTCAATAGGGTAACTTGAGTTATATGTTCACTGTGTAATTTATAGCTTGTATAGTGGGATTATTAGTTAGACACAGTTCAAAGGGCAGTAAAACAAAGTTAAATAGGAAAAGATGTAAATTATGACTTTTAAGCTATTTAGGGCCATATATAACTAGCCATTTAGCTATATATGACCCCAAAATATAGTTTAAGCTACAATAATATTGTAGCTTAATTAATTAATTGTACAATATCTAGTTACTAAACTATATATGTTGCAATTTTCTCTTACAATTTGCAGTCATTGTAGAAAGCAAACAGCTTTATCTTATTTTTTGTGGTGGTTACAAGGTTGGTCAAATCAGCTGAGTCCATGTGGAGTTAAAGTAGAGAAAATAACAGATAAATTATAAAGTTTTACTGAAAAAAGAAGTTTGATATTAATTTAGGAGGTTTTAGGGGTTATGCAGTTGAAATTTGAAAGCTGTAAGAGGAGGAAAAAGTATTTTTAATCTTAATGTGAACATATATTTGCACACAGACTAATCAAATACTTTGTATGTTTATGGACAAATCTTTAGTAAAAGACTCGAATTAGGAGAAAAAAAGATTATATGTGAAATACTTCTTTATGATGATTTCAAAGAGAACTAGAATTACCACAATTATTCAAGTTAGAGTGAGAATATGTATTAACACAAATCTCTTTTTTTTTATTATTCATATATTGTTTTGATCTTGTATCTGTGATTCAAACAAGTAATTGTTTTTTAGAAAGTTTACCACTTTCACTTATTTACAGGTGTGACATATGTAACCAGGGTTTTACTCAGGCAGGAAATTTGAAACGTCACAAGGAGGTACATCTGGAAGAAAAGACATTTATTTGTGAATATTGTGGACTGGCTTTCCAACAAAACTCTTCTTTGAAAGCTCACCTTGTCAAACACACAGCTATTCCAATGTATCAGTGCAATCAGTGTCCAGCAAGGTTCTATAAGAAAGGTAGCTGTCTATCTTAACAAAGCCCAACAAATGTCAACAAAGTGGGTTTTTGAAAAATTATCACCATTATCAGTGCCCATTAACTGCTGTGGAAAGATTAGTGGTAAAATACCAGTGTTGTTAATGAGTAGCAATTGTAATCAAGAAGGTTTAGTATCAGTGTTCTCAATAATCTCCTGTATGTATATATATATATATATATACTTTTTTTTTCTCAGAAGAGTGTGCTCATAATATCTATCTATAAGTTATTAATTTTCTGTGGTGTTTACAGGTTATTACTTTTATGTTTGATGTTCATGTGTTATTGATTATCGTGTGATGTTTGTAGATCATTTGGATAAATGATAATAAAGAATAAATTGACATATTTAAATAAAAACATTTTCTAGATTATTTTCTGTGACATTTTGAATCATCAGACTGTGTTACAGTGCGGTTAGGCTAATCCCACTGTTACACAGTTTTTAATGCCTGAGAAAGACATCTGCTCAAAACAATGCAGAAAATAAACTAGAAAAAGTTTTCATTTAGACATATCAATTTATTCTTTATTATCAGTTATTAAAGTTTTCTTTCTTGTATCTTGCAGAACAACATTCAAGAATTTATAGGTCATTACTTTGTGTATTATGTTTACATGTTTTTACTTTCATGATATATTTGCAGGTTATTGCTCTTGTTTGATGAAGATGATATTACTCTGTGTGATGTATTCAACTTGTTACTTCTGTGCTATGTTTACTGGTTATTACTTTTTTTGAGATGCTATATAGTTTTGCTTATGTGTTATGTTCAGGGTTGGCCACTTGTCTGGTATTTATATAATCTGTCATTTAACTGGTCAAATAATGTCAGGTACAGTCAGATATTTAAGTTTATTTAAGTAGTAGAAATTGCATGATAATATAAAAGAACCAGTTCATGGTTTTTCTCAATCATTTCAACAACAACAACAAAGTCACACCTGTATACAATGCCACCATTTTCATGTTGTGTATTGTAAATAAGTAATATTACCAGACATTATACCAAAAACTTTTTTTTTAATAATTTACTATTGTAAAGTCATGTTGCGAGTTTAAAAATATCATAGCTGTTGGCTTCATAAAAGAATATTATAATACTAGCTGAAGCACCCATCCATTGTATGGGTGAAATAATAACTTGTTTGTAACAAAGGATAGGAAATTGTGCTTCTATTTTGTTTCTTAGTGTAATAAACATTAAAAGTACAATTACAATACATAAAGGTACCAATACTGAAAAGAAAGACATACTGTTTTCAAGAATTCTATCAATATGAAATTATTTTGGGGGGTCAACACAATGACCTTTCTCATGTCATCCTATATTACTGTTTCAAGTTGTGCTGATTTGGTAGTTTTTTCAAAATTAGCTAAAAAATTAGATGGGGGAGTCTAAATCCTCCCCTACCCATGTCATTCTGTATCAGTGCGTTAAGTTTGGTGCTGATTGATCAATAAATGTAAAAACTTATAAGGAACAAATACACATGCATATTTACGTTTATTTATTTAGAAGATGAGGGGGATCCAACCCCCACCTCCTTCGTGTCCTTCCTCGTGTCATCATATATCGCTGTGTCAAGTTTGGTGCTGATTGGTAAAGAAATGTGTAAGGAAAAGATATGAAATGATAAATATATGACTGTGTATTTTTTCCTGGATATACACTGTTTTATATAGTAGATGGCTTCATATAACATCACTCCCTTATGGGTTACAGTATGTGAAGAGCAGGGATCCATTAAACTCTCATATTATATTAATATTTACAAAATATGTAAAAATGTAAGAAATATTAGAATCGCACATTAAATACAATTTTTATTGTTTGAATTAGACACTTGTCCATTTTGAAGTCCATTGGTAGGTTGTATTTAATTTGTGGCATAAAAACCATTAAAAAACCTCAGTTGATATGATACTTAATACAAGTTTTGACTCGTATTTGACCAGTTTTTAACCATTCAAAAAATAAATGACCAATTGACTGAGTTGCCAACCTTGGTTATGCTTGCATATTATTATTTGTGTATTATGTTTACATGTTATTACTTTTGTGTGAAAGTTACAGGTTATTACTTGGGTGTTGTGTTTAACAGTTGTTATTTGTGTGTGTGATATATATACATGGGTTATTACCTTGGTGTAACAGTCACAGAGTTATTGGAAATCCATGCTTTCTTATGTGTGTATATATATATATATATATATATATATATATATATATA